GGGGAACGGGCCATGGAGAGCGGCGGGGCGCTGAACGGCTCCGCCGCCACCGCCGGGCGCTTCGCCGCCGCGGGGACGGCAGCGCAGGGCTCGTTGATGGTGCTGCTGATCGCCGTCACCGTGGCCGGGAACGCCTTGGTGATGTTGGCCTTCGTGGCGGATTCCAGCCTGCGTACCCAAAACAACTTCTTCCTCCTTAACCTGGCCATCTCGGATTTCCTAGTAGGTAAAGTGCAGCCCCGACGCGGGGTTCAGCGAACGCCCGGCCCGGCCCGGCCCGGCACGGCACGGCGATCTTAGCGGCGGACTCCTGCCTCCTGCCCGGCTGCGCTGGGGTCCGTCCGTCCCTGGGTCCGTCCGTCCGTCCCTGTGTCCGTCCGTCCCCGACACCCGCTCCCCGAGACCGGGGAGAACGGAGCGGCGGCCGCGGGGCGAGGGGGGAAGACCCGACCCGGCGCCTGCGGGTCCCCCGGGGAGGGTTGGGGTGGGGGGTGGGGGGGGAACACACATAACCACCGTGCAGAGTCCGGCATCTTAATGGAAACGGACCCCTCTGGTTGCAGGTGCCTTCTGCATTCCCTTGTACGTGCCCTATGTGCTGACGGGGAGATGGATCTTCGGGAGAAGCCTCTGCAAACTCTGGCTGGTAGTTGATTACCTGCTCTGCACCTCTTCGGTCTTCAACATCGTGCTGATTAGCTATGACAGATTCCTCTCGGTGACAAGAGCGGTGAGTCCTGTCATGGCAGCTGAGAGGGGAATAACTCTCCTCCTGCTTTGTTCCCCAGATTCTCTGCAATAATTAAAAGCTCTACGAATCCTCCAGAAATTGCGAATCTTTTGGCCTGGTGACGGAAGGCAATAATTATCCACAAATACGTAATTCAGCTGTGGCTTCAGATTAGTTTTCTGGGCATAATTAAATCATTTAAGGTTCAGACCCCATTGTGCAGGTGTTCCCTTCCCGGATGACAGGATAGTAGTGTACAAGTGAGTCAGTGAGGTAAGCAGACCTATTACTAACTTGCAGGGGCTTATTATCTCCAGGACAAACAAGCGGATTGCAGTTGGATTCCCAGCTTCTCCCTGGCTACCGAGGCAGTAGATTGCAGTACCAACTTCAGCAGGGCATGGCCCTGAGGTCTCTGGGTACGTGGCGAGATGAAAACGCTCAGCCTTTTGCAGGAGGTAACGAGCAATTCGCAGGCAGAGCAGATCCATTGCTGTTTGCTTGTTCCCCGACTCTAAGTACAACGTGGATTAGTAACAAGGCTCAGAGAGAGCCAGAGCTAGATGCCTGCCTAGCGCAGGAGTTTAATGCATGCCTCTCCCTGGGAGTTCCAGAGTAGCTGGGGACAACTCAGGTGAGTGGTGGGATGCAGCAGACTGCCAGGCTCCAGCCAAGTCAGTAAGTACATTTCCACTAAGTAGAAGCCACGTCTGGTTTTGGAGCTGCAAGATGAGGGTTCTAAGTCTTCCCTGCAGGAGTTTGATTTATCTAGCAATTGCTCCCATTGCCTATGGCACATGAATTTGTTAGACTGCTGGGATATTGCCTAGCAACTTTACCAGGAATGCTAACAGTTCATTTGTGAAGAGCCTCAACCAGTTGGGGTGCGTGACCATACTTAAGAAAAGGTTTCCCCATTGCAGGTTGCCTACAGAGCCCAGCAAGGCAACACCAAGCGAGCGGTGCTGAAGATGGTGATGGTATGGGTACTAGCGTTCCTGCTTTATGGACCTGCCATTATCAGCTGGGAGTATATATCAGGCCGGAGTATCATACCCACTGGGGAATGCTACGCTGAGTTTTTCTACAACTGGTATTTTCTCATGACAGCCTCTACACTGGAGTTTTTCACCCCTTTCATCAGTGTAATGTTTTTCAACCTGAGCATTTACCTGAACATACAAAAGCGTACCAAAACACGCCTGGATATTTTCCATGAAGTGCACAACCAGTCCTTCACTGAAGAGATGGAAATGAGCCCAGAAGCAAAGCTTTCTTTGAAATGCTGTAAGTGGGAGCAGAAGGAGCCAGCTGAAACCCTCGACCTCTCTAAGAACAAAGCGCAAGCAGCAGCCTCCACTGCCAGCCTGGATGCCAAAGACCTACTGTCAACAAGCTCTGAGAGCTCCAGGAAACCCAAGTGTTGCAACAAAAACAGCTGTAAAAATTCAGCATCCACTCTCTCCTTGGAGAAACGGATGAAGATAGTGTCCCAGAGCATGACTCAACGCTTCAGGCTCTCTAGAGACAAGAAAGTGGCTAAATCACTGGCAATCATCGTGGGCATTTTTGGAATCTGCTGGGCACCGTACACTCTCCTGATGATCATCCGCGCTGGCTGCCACGGCCACTGCATCTCTGAGTACTGGTACGAGACTTCCTTTTGGCTGCTGTGGATCAACTCAGCTGTCAACCCTGTCCTATACCCTCTTTGCCACTACAGCTTCAGAAGAGCTTTTATTAAACTCCTCTGTCCCAAGAAGCTAAAGATTCAACCTCATGATCCCCTTCAGAACTGCTGGAAGTGAAGCCAGCCCTGTGTGTGGATGAGAAGAGCCTTGGTTTAATACACCTGTGTTATGATAAAGTACTGTAGCTTGCTTCCTTGGAAGAACCTGGCAGCACTGGTCTGGGGCATGCGAAGAAGGCAGCAGTAAGACCACTATTAATTTATCCTAGTCCATCAACAACATAATCACCCAGGATAAAAGGGTAAAGGGGTTTTTGACATTAACCACAGGCAGTGAAATCTGTCCCCGCCACTTGCAGGTGCCACAAAAGAGCTCTGCTGCCACCTAGTCAGCCAGAGCCGCACCAGCATTTTGCTAAAATAAACAGAAACTGAAAAATAAAAGCTAACAAGAATAAATATCTAACCTAAAACTATTGGACTAAACTACAGTTTACCTGTTCGCAGACCTATTTTTCCTGTAAATGGGAGCGCATTGTCCTTACACTTAAGATATTACACATATGTGATGATACAGAAAGAAAAGAACAAACCTCAGAAGGACACCACCTCATATATCGTGATTGCTACAGCAGTAACCTAGATCCCTGTTGCATGTGGTGCAATAGATGTCCCTTCCACTCCCCAAGAAGGGACAAACCTCTGCCCTAAGGAGTTTACAGCCAGACTCAAAGGCGCTGAGCATCCTGAAGCACCCTGTCAGCACTCCCTGATCCCTGCTTCAAAACTGATTCAATTTCCTTTGCGTCCAGCCACACACCGGCCAGTGCTCCCACAGCACATGGGATTGCTTCCCTCCTGCCCGGAGCTGTGCAGCAGGAGCAAGCCTGGTCCGTGGCCCCGCAGGACGTGGGAGCCCTGGCGGACCCAAAGAAGAGGACTGCTGCTGCACCTACGTGAAAGGTGGCAGCAGGGTATCAGCTTCTCCACAGTCTCCCTCGTGATGACCCAGAGATATTTTAAAATCTCTTCTGCAGGATCTTAAAAATACGCTTTTGGCTATGTGTTAGAGAATGACAAGCGCCGAGAGAAGTAAATCTTGTGTTCCTTTTAAGTTAGTTTCAGACTTCTTAATTGTAACAAGTTCCAGAACTCTTGCATGCTTCCTTTTAAAATACATCATTTGAATGGAGACCTGGGTTGAGCTGATCCAGGCAACATAAGCATCTTTTTTTTAATTATTATTTTTGAATTTTTTTAAAGCAGTCATTACACAGATATGAGCACCAGATTCAAGAGACCAGGGCTCTAGCTTCAGTCTTAACATAAAATCTTGGGCATTTTATCGCTGCTTCCCATTTCGCGCTTCACCATACTTGCCCATTTATTCTGTAATCTCTTTGGGAACAGAGGTAGTATGACCATAAAGCAAAATACTTCCACCGCCCACTTGTGTTGGCACTGCTCAGTGATATAGTAATACAAATACGTAATTAGTTGCCATGGCAAATGCTCATATTTAACAGTATTGTACAGGGAAACTCAAGATCATAAGTCTGAAAACTACCTTTACAAATAGAAACCTAAATGCTGTGTGGTAGTACCCAAAAGCTTATGATGTTGTGATTGCCAATTACACTTCGCTGTTGTAAGCAAACTGCTTTTTGGCTGCTGCTAGGAATAAAAGAAAATGCTATCCAATTTTATTCCAGCGATATTTGTTGAGTAGATCAGTATTGTCATCTGAAGCCAGGTTAAGTGATGTATTGTTTTGTGTATATGATATTTCAGTCTTGTGACATGTTCAGTCAGACCATTATATATGGGTTAAAATATAGCCTTTGAAGTGTACTAAGAATTGGCAGCATGTACTGTTGAGCCTGCTTGTACCTTTCCTTGTGACTGCTACCTTCTGAAAACCCGAATAAAGTATTTTTATACAAAACTTACAAAATATTTTATGGTAAACAGAGTGTTGCTGGAACTGATAAAATACAACTGAAAGCAAAACATCTATGGATTTGCCTGAGGAGACAGCTAAAGCCTATACATTTCACAAAAAAACAGCTCCCAAAACAGCTGAGTTTCTCATACCTCTGATTAGCAGGTTCCTGACAGGACACTAAGGATGTGGTTGGTGAGGGCACATGGCTTAATTCTTTCCAACTTTGGTTCTTTTCCAGAGTGTGTTATGTGCAACTTAGAGCTGAAAAGGTTACACTAACACTAACTCTTCCTGTGAATTACAAAATCCACTGGCCTGCCTAAAAATGACAAAGTCATAATGTGAACAAAGTACCAGTTTCCAGCTGTGGTTCTCTTTGTTTGTTCATAACAGAGATGGGGCTACTAGATCATTCAGTGTGATAAAAAGAAAAGCTACTGCTGTGTTACACCTTATGAAAAGGGTGGAGAAATGGTGTCTGTCTTTTTTTTTTTTTTTTTTTTAATGGGGTATTGAATAGCGGTTACCTACTTCACGTTCTCATCCTCCAGAAAAAGGATTTTTTTTTCTTCTTTTAAAGACTATCCTGCATGATCTTCACTGGATAAGTGGAAGGTCTTTGAAATACAGTAGAGGCCAAGTAACCATTAGAATGATACTAAATTGGTTGCAAAAGGGAAATAGGCCCCATTTCACGTGGTCTTCCATCATTCAAATAGCCAGCTTTCTCCAGGAAGATTTTATGAGCTTCTGAAGTCATGCCCACAATACTTGCTCCTGTACCACTTCTTTTGCCCCTACATAACACAACAGTCTCTTTCTTGTACCTGTAGAGCACACATCCCTCTGATATCCTGATTTCTGCTCACCAGTCCTCAGCATGCTTGCAAATAAATGTTAATTGCATGCCATTTACTGCCACCAAAACGAGTATGATGCTACAGGTAACTACTGAAAAGTCAAACCAGGTACCAATTATTTAACAAAACTGAGTAAGATTACGCATAATGCACCTTGCTGGGTTCCTTCCCTTCTCCCTTTTTGGAGGGGTTGGTTTTTTACAGAAATACCCCAAAAACGTAACTGAAAGTCCAGGAATCTTGTTAGCACTCACACTTCTCCCATTTTAAGAGAGAGGAAACTTAACAGAAAAGATGGGAGTTCAGCTAAGCAAGCTCTCACAGCTTTCTGTGGTTAACAGCTGAATCTGTGACAAACTAGACCTGAGAATACCTTCCATACCACGGTTTTGTTACTTCTGACTGAAGGAATGAACAAAGAATTTATCAGTCTTTCCTATATGAGACATTTGCCTGAGCAGGGACTGGCTTTCTAGTAGAATAAAATAGGAAGATGACAGAGAGGGGTGGTTTTGGTTTTCTTATTTCCTCCACATTCCAATACACGTCAAGAACATTAAAAATTATTGTGCAAGAAGACCAGAGCTAAGAAACAGGGAGCATATACTGAGTTATTTTAGCAGGCTTTTTCCCCCCCTTTCTATAAATTTCCCTTTCTTAGAGCTTGAATTAATTGAATCAAATAAAAAAACAAAAAAAACCCCACAACACATTAACACTCCTTAGCTCCAGAAGTGGTTTTCCTACACATGACGAGCTGAGCAAGCAGCTATTTAAAATGGGAGTCGCAACTATTTAAATTCTGAACATGACTTTTTTTCCAGATAATCTGAGCCTCCAATCTCAAATTCTTAGCTTATGATTAAGTTTTTATGTACTGAAGGCAAACAGCAGGGTTTCTCCTACATCCATTGGTAGTAACTTTGCTCAAAAGTGATGAGACCAGCTTTAAATTTCAAGGTGACTTTGCAAGCACACGGGCTAGGAATTCCTTTCTTTCACATGTTCACACAGTCAAAGAGCTAAAGCTGTAAGCAAAATACCCAGTTTTAAGAGACTCATAAAATTCACGATACTCACAGACAGTTGGTGGAGACTGGTTCTGCTTTCAGTGATCCGTAAGACCATTGATGTACCTGCACTGAAGCGCACACACCATCTGTACAAGCACCGTGCTTTCTTAAGAGTCCCAACTAGTGACGTCAATATATTTCTGTATAAAGTCCTGATGGTACTTTTCTCTGAGCTTTCAGAATGTGCTTTTGCTGTTAAAGTCCTTTCCCAAAGAGTGAATAAATGGACACATTTCACTGCGAGCCTTTTGCACAGTGTTTTCATGATCTCTGACCGCCATATGGGCAGAGTTATATAAACTTAGCTGAAAGTAATTTTATTCATTGGTGGATTTTGCAGGGAAGACACTTGTATTCCTTCCTGAAATAAGAGCTCTTGCCTTGCCAAATAAAAAAGAAACATAACTAAGTTATGCCTGGATGCGAGGTCAGACCTGAGCCTGGGTTTCATACAGAAAATGTTATGAGCTGATTTGAAGTTTCAGAGTAGCTGATAACGCATTCAAATATGCTTAAAAGAGTATTTGAATTCTGCTGATTTTTGGTGTTCAGAATATAAATGCCTATATGCATTTGGACGAGGCAGGGACTAGGGAGCTTCTAGGCATAATCAAATATGAACTGTGAAAACATATTACCACTAGACAAGGTAGGGCTTCCTGCCACCTACCCTGCAAAACACCTATATATGTATTTTGCTACCATACCTGCTAACAAAAATGCCCCATTCCTATTGTCTAGACGTAAAGCAAGCAGGCAGGACCTGTTTTCAAAAACCATGAAAGAAGACCTGCTGTAATTATGAATATGAATTAAATATTTGCGGAAGCACATAGCCTTCACACAGAAAAGAAACCCAGCTATTTCCAGAGAGAAGGATCCAATTTATGCATGGACTAAACAATGATCAAGCAGCTGTAAATCATACCCAGGCGCTTTTTAAAGCAATGGGCTAAGTGACTTCCCATAAGACCTGTGCGGAGGTAATGCCAGTTCCCTTCTCTTAATACAAACCTACACTCCACTAACTCGAGGATGCAAAGGCCACGATAACAAGGTCTGTGGTCCTTTCATAGAGCAGCATCTGCATATCAACAAACTATCAAAGAATATTTATCAGCCCAGCTACTTTCTTTTTGGCTCTGTAATGCTTCCTCCCTAATCACCAATGATGAGAGATCTCTTTACCCAGAGGAACTTTGCTCCCACCGCCTCTCTTCAGCGCCCTTCCTCAATTACC